TCCAGCTACAGCTCCATCCCCAAGTTCTCCTCGGATGCCAGCAAGGTGGTGACTCGGGGGCCTGGGCTGTCCCAGGCTTTCGTGGGCCAGAAGAACTCCTTCACCGTGGACTGCAGCAAAGCAGGCAGGTGGAGGGGGAGGGCGTCTTCTGGGATGGGAGCAAGATGCCATCTGGGAGCAGGGTGTGGGTTCCCGTCGGGGCCTCCCTGGTGTGAGCCCGGCCCTCTGCCTCCCTCTCCAGGCACCAACATGATGATGGTGGGCGTACACGGGCCCAAGACCCCCTGTGAGGAGGTGTACGTGAAGCACATGGGGAACCGGGTGTACAACGTCACCTACACCGTCAAGGAGAAAGGGGACTACATCCTCATCGTCAAGTGGGGCGATGAAAGTGTCCCTGGAAGCCCCTTCAAAGTCAAGGTCCCTTGAATCCCAGAAGTGCCTCCCCAGCTTTGGCCCCCACCTCCAGCCAAACACACATCACACACACACACACACACACACACACACACACGCCACACCCAGACACACGCATAGCATCAGACACTATAAACACCTGCCTTGGGGGTGAAGGCATAGCCTCCCCCCACACCGTGCCCCGGGGGTTGGAGGGCCTTGTCTGTTTCCGGACAGTGTCCCTCCCCGGGAATGTGACATGAGGGCTTACTGGGGCCAGGCTCAGAGACAGAGGCTGGGGCACAAGTGGGCTGAAGCCCTGAGTTTTCTGGCAGGGCTGACCAGTGGGGGAGCATTGTGTTGGGGGTGTCTGTGTGTGAGAGGTCACCCTCAAACTGCACTGCTGGCCAATCACCCTCCTGCCTCTGAGGACTTGGTCTGATCCCTCTGGTGGCTACAACCCCAGAGTTTTAAGGACTTGGAAAGGAAAATACAATCAGAGAAGAAAGACCCTGAAGCACCGCAGTGGCTTGGCACGGGGACTGGCCGAGCGGTGTGCACTCCGCCCAGGCCAGGCTTCCTGGGGGCCTGATTTCTCTCTTGCTGTCTCTTTTTTTAAAATGGTTGCACGTCTCTGCCCCACGGGGGGCCTTTTTTACACACTGCGAGGCCCAACTTTGTAGGGGAACTTTTGCACATGTCATGAGGCTCAGCTGGGAGCCGCTTAGGTGGAAAACTCCAAATAAAGTGCGGCTGTCGCAGACACTTGGCTGTTCTTTGCGTGCTGCCCTCTGGCCTGCCACATGAAAAACCCAGCCCTGGGGAGGCAGAGGCGACCTGGCTGTCCCCTGGAAGACTGACCCCAATCGAGGGGAAGATCCTGGAGTGGAAGTGAGGTCTGGGATGTTGGCAGATTGCTTGAAAGAAGCAGAAGCGGGGGCTCGTGGGAAGGGGTCCCAGCGGGAGGGTTTGTGGACAGTACAGGGTGTGGACACTTCTACAGTACTGCCCCAGGACCCCTGGGAGGCCAGTTTCAGTTCAGCCTGACCTCGAGGATGTTTTTCAAATTAAGACCTTAAAACTGAGCTCTGACTCAAACAGGAATATTCCTCAACCAGTAGGCAGGCAGAACCATGTGCAGACCCCGGCACCTTCCCTCCAGCTGGTTCCTGAATCAACCTGGGCTATTCCGTGCCCCGCTCCAGCACTGAGTTTGCACAGGGACTCCCTCCTGAACTCCTGCACTAGCCCTGTCCTGGCCAGCTCCCTCCAACCTCCCCTCCCTGCTGCAGCTTGAGGGGGGTGGTCACTTTAAAGAGAGTATGCCCCTCTCTGTGGCTCCCTCCTGCTCCAGAGTAAAGTCTCATCCTGACAAGGTCTCCAGGGTCCCCCAGGTTCAGACAGCAGTCTCTCCATCTGTATGAGTTGGGCAGCAAGCCCATTCCCCATTGTACCCTCCACCTCCAACCCCCCTTCACCACCTCTAGTTAACTGGGCACCCATGCTGTAATTTGGGCCCCTGCCCAGAAACACCCTTGCCTCCCCACCCTCTTCATCTTCCTGGCCAACGGGAAGTTTTCCTGGACCCCTCCCTGCCCCTCCTGGATCAGTGCCCCCAACTCCCAAACCGCCCTGGGACACATCTCTAGCTGCATTTACGACCCTGAACTGTGGCCACATATCCAGGGCTCTGCCACCAGACTGAGCTCCCTGGCCCTGGGTGTGAATGAATGAGTGAATGTGTATGAATGAATAAGTACATGAGCAGCTGAGTAGCTGCAGCAGGGCGAAGAAGACTTTCATTCAACTGATCCCACAACTCGACACACCTGGGCATTTCAGCACATGGTGGTGGGCCTAGCAGAAAAACCCACAAGGCCCCAACTCCTAATCCCTGACCTCCCTACCTCTTCATTTAACAGCCTCTCTGCTTCCTCCCTCCTTCATACCCTCCCACACACCCCTCCTCCCTCGCTGCTCTCCCTCCCCCTCATCCCTAGATGAGCTACTTTCCCGCTGGCCCCTCAGCTTGGGCTGCCTCCACCTGTGTGTGGCTCATATGCTCACAGACCTCGAGCCTGTCTGCTTCCAGCCAGCCAGTGTGTCCCTGGGTGCTGGCACTTATAGGCCCTTCCTCATTAATCCTAACTCATAACAGCCCTGTGAGGTGGGGCTACTACCATCTGAAGAAACCAAGGCCCTGGGAATGTCAGTGATGAGTCCAAAACCATACCTCTAAGTAGTGGGGCAGAGATTGAAACCCAGGTGTGCCTGAATCCCAAGCTTATCACACATGCAATCGCTACAGCAGACCACCTGCACATCTCAAGTACTCTGAACTCACAAACCCCACGCCAGACACTGGGAGTGCTGGTTTGTTAAAAGGGAGGAGCCGGGCGCGGTGGCTCAGGCCTGTAATCCCAGCACTTTGGGAGGCTGAGGCACTCAGATCACCTAAGGTTGGGGGTTCGAGACCAGCCAGACCAACATGGAGAAACCCCATCTCACTACAAATACAAAAAATTAGCCGAGTGTGGTGGTGCACACCTGTAATCCCAGCTACTCGGGAGGGTGAGGCAGGAGAATCACTTGAACTTGGGAGGTGTTTTGAAACTTCATCTCAAAAAAAAAAAAGGGAGGAGGAAAGAGTGGCCCCTTCCTCTTCAGCCTGCTCATCTCACAGAGGTCACTTTCCCCGGAATGTTACTCCCATCCATGTGCTGCACAGGCCAGAAACCTGTAAGTCACCCAGGTCTCTCTATCTCACTCCCCAAACACATCCACTATGAAACCAGTTTTGTCCTAGCTATCTAAATATTTCTCAGCTCTCTCAGCTCTACATACTTCTCTGCATTTCCCTTATTACCACCTGAGTCTGGCCACCATCATCTCTCACAATGGCTCCTAATTTGGTTCCTCCTCCCTCAGTTTCATCTCTGCACACAGCACAGTCACAGTAACTGACAGCTGTAAAACATGTTTGGCGACAGCACTCTCTTGCTTGAAATCCCTCAGCAGCTTCAGAATAACTCTGTCCTCAGGAGAACTTCCAGATCCGTTTTTTTTGTTGTTGTTGTTTTGTTTTTTTTTTAAGACAGTCTCGCTCTGTCACCCAGGATGGAGTGCAGTGATGCCATCTCAGCTTACTGCAACCTCCCTTGCTCCGTTTCAAGTGATTGTCCTGCCTCAGCCTCCCATGTAGCTGGGACCACAGGTGCACATCACCTCACTGGGTTAATTTTTTTGGTATTTTTAGTGGAGCTGGGTTTTCGCCATGTTGGCCAAGCTGGTCTGAAACTCCTGACTTCAGGTGATCTGCCCACCTCAGCCTCCCGAAGTGTGGGATTATAGACGTGAGCCATCACATCTGGGCTGCAGATCCCTTTTTTTTTGAGACAGGATCTTGCTCTGCCACTCAGGCTTAAGTGCAGTGCCCTGATCATAGCTCACTGTAACCTTGAATTCCCGGGTTGAAGTGAGCCGTGCTACCTCAGCCTCTCAAGTAGCTAAAACTACAAGTGTGCACCATCATGCCTGGCTAATTTTTTTTTTTTTTTGAGACAGACTCTCGCTCTGTCACCCAGGCTTGAGTGCAATGTTGCAATCTAGGCTCACTGCAACCTCCACCTCCTGTGTTCAAGCAATTCTCCTGCCTCAGCCTCCCAAATAGCTGGGATTAGAGGCACCCGTGACCACTCCTGGCTAATTTTTTGTATTTTTAGTAGAGATGGGGTTTTGCCATGTTGGCCACGGTAGTCTCAAACTCCTGACCTCAGGTGATCCACCCGCCTCAGCCTCCCAAAGTGCTGGGATTACAGGCATGAGACACCCCACATGCCCAGCCTACCTGGCTAATTTTTAAAATGTTTTGTAGAGACAGGGTCTCACTATGTTGCCCAGGCTGGTCTCCAACTCCTGAGCTCAAGTGATCCTCCCCCATCTCGGGAGCACTCCCAAAGTGCTGGGATTACAGGTGAGGCACCATGCCCAGCCTTACCAATTCTTTAACTTTCCCTGAAGGCCATATGCTCTCTAGTCAGATATGCCTTTGCATATACTGTTCCTTTGCCTAGAACACCTTCTTGTCCTCATTTCTATCCCCTTCATCCTGCAGGTCCTTCAGGTCTCAGCTTAGATGTGAAGCAAGCTTCTGGGGGAAGGGTTCTTTGGATGCCCCCTCTCTCCATAGGTTAGTTACCATGGATGTGTGCTTCCATATACTTCTCACATTCTAACAATTAACACACAGCTTTGTTATCGCCTGTTCCCTTGACTTTCCCCCTCACTAGACAGTATCATCACTAACTTCTGCATTCCTTTAATTGAACAGATGTGTACGAGTTGTTAACTATATGTCATACATACATACACGATAAAGACCCAGGCCCTGCCCTTGAGAACAGTAACTGCGTCTCTTCTCTGGGGTCTCGGCGTTTAACAGTGCCAGGTTCAAAGCGCTTGTTTAACGAATGAACCAAAGAAGGAGTGAATGAACGAATGAATTCCTACGAAGGACGTCGTGCCGCGCAGCCTTCTGGGAACCGTAGTCCCCTGGTTCTGGCTTGTCTTTACGGCGCAGGCGTATTCACATTGAGGCTGTGTTGCTGTTAATGCGCATGTCCCCGGAGGCGGCTGGGAGAACTGCGCATGCCCGAAGTGGGGTGAGGCGGACAGGGAGCCGCACGGCGGAGGCGGGGCTTCGGTGGCTTCTGGTGCTCTGGCGTGATCTCTGCCTGGCTGCGGGGATGGCGGGGAGGGGGAAGCTCATCGCAGTGATCGGAGACGAGGACACGGTGACTGGTTTCCTGCTGGGCGGCATAGGAGAGCTTAACAAGAACCGCCACCCCAATTTCCTGGTGGTGGAGAAGGATACAACCATCAATGAGATCGAAGACACTTTCCGGTACGGTAGCCCCGCGAGACCTGAACGGGCCCTTCTGCTGCCGGCTGGAGTGCGGGGCGAGGGCGGAGGTGGCCCGGGGACCGAGGCGTGAGGCCCGGACTCGGGTAGGGGGAGGGTCTTGGAAGTCCGCCCGCCCTTCCGGAGCGGAGGCCTCCGCGCCCCAAGTTCCCGTTTGGGACTCTGGGGGACCGAAGCTGTATCAGGTCCACGAGCTCACCTCTCACATGATCGTGTGTCAGGAAAAAAGGGGAACAGAGCTCGTGACGGGCACCGCCCGTCAGCACAACCTGTCCCTGTCCATGGCTGAGCGTTCAGAGCGCCCAGTCCCCGGCGACTGCCAACCTGGACGCCTGTTCCCAAGTAGGGCTCGGCTCTTTTGCAAGTTGCCCCTGCAACTTGCGGGGACAACATCCCCGCATCCCCGATGAGCACCTAGGCAGTGGGTTCGGACTTTATTCTGATTTCCCGTCCTTTAGAGGCTTACCATCGACCTGTAAGGCAGGGGTGATTTTGTCCTGCTTACAGGTGAGAAAACTAAACCTCGGAGAGGTTAAGGCACACACCAAAGTCACGAGTCGGCAAAGGCAGAGCTGGAATTTGAACCCAATCCCAACCCTTTCTGCCTCTGGTAAGCCAGGTACACACTCTGCAGCTCTCCTCAGTCGGCCTCGGAATTTCCCTTTGGTCCTGAGCACAGTAGGCAGAAAATATCAGGACTGTGAGAGCCTTCTGCTACAATTTGCACTCAAGCCCTCACTCCCTGCCTTAGGTCAGGCATGCCTAAGTGTCGTCGAAGGCATGCCTTTAATCCACCTGGTGTCCTGGTGTCTGGAATTGAGGATACCAGCCGCCTCCTATTCTTTCCCTCACCTCATCTCCAGGGCCCCTGTACCTTGCCACTCACCTGTTTCCCTCTAAGCAGCCCAGCCCAGGGCTGCCGGCTGAGACTGGTTCTTGCTGCCTGGGGTATGGTAGGCCCTGACCTGGGAGGCTGTTATCTGCCGATCTCTAAGCTGTCTGGTAAAGTGACCCAAGTTGTCATGGGAGAAGGACAAATTTTACTTCAAGAATTTTCCATGTTTCCAACCAAAAGGGACCTCAGAGAACAAATCTAACCCAGTGACTGGCAGGGGGTGGGTGCTCAGTAAATAATTTTTAACTGGTAAATAAACAAATGAGGCTGGTGTAGTGGCTCACACTTGTAATCCCAGCACTTTTGGAGGCCGAAGTGGGTGGATCACTTGAGGTCAGGAGTTTGAGACCAGCCTGACGATTATGGTAAACCCCGTTTCTACTAAAAATACAAAAATTAGCCAGGCGTGTTGGTGGGTGCCTGTAATCCCACCTACTCAGGAGACTGAGGCAGGAGAATCGCTTGAACCCAGGAGGTGGAGGTTGCAGTGAGCAGAGATCGCACCACTGCACTCTGGCCTGGGCGACAGAGGGAGACCTGCCTCAAAAAAATAAAATAAATGAATAATGGGTGGGTGATCACAGGAGACGAGGATCACAAGGCCAGGTTCTTTTTGTGGAGAAAGTGTGATTCCCTCATCACCGAGTGTCATCTTCGTAGCTTCCTTTCATCATGCCAAACCTTCCCTCGGACTCCTCTGCCACCCTCATCATCTAGATCTTGAGGCCTTCAGTAGTCTCATCAGCCCTAGTTTTAAAAAATTTAGTTTTTTCCATGGCCTTGTTTATTTAAAAAAATAAGTTTGTTTTCTTTTTAAAAGTTAATGTGTCTTCTGTTTATTGTTTTTGCTTTTTGAGATGGAGTGTTGCACTGTCACCCAGGTTGGAGTGCAATGGCGCAATCTCGGCTCACTGCAACCTCTGCCTCCTGGGTTCACGTGATTCTCCTGCCTCAGCCTCCCAAGTAGTTGGGATTACAGGCGCCCGCCACCACACCTGGCTAATTTTTTTGTATTTTTAGAGAGACGGGGTTTCGCTGTGTTGGCCAGACTGGTCTCAAACATCTGACCTCGTGATCTGCCCACCTTAGCCTCTAAAAGTGCTGGGATTACAGGCGTGAGCCACCACGCCCGGCCTAATGTGTCTTTTTCTTTTTTCTTTTTTTTTTGCTGAGTCAGGGTATCACTCCTGTCACCCAGGCTGGAGTGCAGTGGAGTGTTCACAGCTCACTGCAGCCTCGACTTCCCAGGCTCAAGTGATTCCCCCACCTCAGCCTCCCAAGTAGCTGGGGCTACAGCCTCCCAAGTAGTTGGCACGTGCCGCTACATCCAGCCAATTTTTGTATTTTGTGTGTGTGTGTGTATTTTTTGTAGAGACAGGGTCTCACTATGTGGCCCATTTTGGTCTCAAATTCTTGGGTTCAAGCGATCCACCTGCCTCAGCCTCCCAAAGTGCTGGGATTACAGGTATAAGCCATCAAACCCAGCCTTTGGTATCTGCACATAAAAAGGGATCTGCGTACATATAATCTTATCCTCCCCCTTCCTGACACCGTCACCACATGTTGAATACACTCTTGTGCACCCTTATTAATCTTCATTACTAGCTCACTTGGAAGCCTTCTAGGCAGTGTTGTAGAAGCCAAGCCTAATGAACATGACCCTCCGCTTTGGGATGAAATTGATTCTAGGTGGGGTTGAGAGAGTGTTGAGCATAGCAGCCTTTTCCCTTGTCTTCTGTGCCCTCTGGGCCATGCTTATTCCCTTCTATAGCCCAGCCCAACCACTTGGCTGTCCTGAACTTCCTCCTCATCTCTCCCCACAGGCAGTTTCTACACCGGGACGACATTGGCATCATCCTCATCAACCAGTACATTGCAGAGATGGTGCGGCACGCCCTGGATGCCCACCAACACTCCATCCCAGCTGTCCTGGAGATCCCCTCCAAGGAACACCCGTATGACGCCGCCAAGGACTCCATCCTGCGCAGGGCCAGGGGCATGTTCACTGCCGAAGACCTTCGCTAGGGGACTCCTCACAGCCCTCAACCCTTCCCTCATTTCCAGGCCTCTCCCCAGCCTTGCCATCAGCCTCTTTACATTTTGAGCCTCTGATTTCCAATTCCTTGCCCCTTCCCACTCCATAAAGAGGCTAAGTGAGGCACTTCTAGGTTGCTGGGGCTCTGCTGTAAAATCAAGGCTGGTTAAGGAACAGGAGCCTGACCATCTTCTGTCCACTACCTCTCCCCTGTGCTGTTACACGGTGTCATTGTTGATGTTAAATTAAAGTCATATTACTGCTTCTCTCCGAACTGGGGCTGGGTGCTGGAAAGGACATGTGTGGGTGAGGCTGTGGGGCAGATTTGATTGGCAAGGATGCACAAGGTGCTGCTAAAGATGGGCATGGAAGAGCTGGCCCAGGAAGACTATGTTGGGAGGCAGAACTCAGGGACCGGTCCTCAGATCAGAGAAGACCAGCTCTGGGTGGGGCAGAGTAGGAGGCCTTGAGCCCAGCCCCTGCCTCCACCTTGCTCGCCATTGGGCTGGGAAGGGGGCCCAACACAAAGGACAGAAGCAGAAAGCACCAGAAACCTGGGATCCTGTGACACCAGATCCCACATGGGCCCTGTAGGGGGTGTGGGGAACAGGGCTCTTAGTTGACCTGGGCCCTGGGCTGTCTCAGGAAGCCAGGCTCATGAGGTCTGCTGGGGGCATGGCAGGTAGAACCCTGGCCCTGTGTGAGGTGAGGCATGGTTGCCAGGTGACGGTGCCAGGGTAGCCACCCACCATCAGAAGCACTCTGCTTGCTGTGCTCTCCCCTCAGCTGCAGCTACCCCGGTGCCGCTCCTTCCCGGCCACCATGGCACGGCAGCTCAACATGGACACGGTGCGGCAGAACTTCTGGAAGGAGGAATATCTGAGGGAAAAGATGTTGCGCTGTGAATGGTACCGCAAGTATGGGTCGATGGTGAAGGCCAAGCAGAAGGCTAAGGCTGCAGCCCGCCTGCCCCTCAAACTGCCCACCCTGTACCCCAAAGCCCCACTCTCACCCCCACCCGCCCCCAAGTCTGCCCCTTCCAAGGCACCCAGCCCTGTCCCAGAGGCTCCTTTTGAGGCAGAAATGTACCCAGTACCACCTGCCACCCGAGCCCTGCTGTATGAAGGCATCTCCCACGACTTCCAGGGGCGCTATCGCTACCTCAACACTCGAAAACTGGACATGCCAGAGACGCGATACCTCTTCCCCATCACCACCAACTTCATGTATGGCTGGCAGCTGGGTGAGCCCAACCTCTTGGAAATTAACTCACCTCAAAGACAGAGCACCTGCCATGTGCCAGGGAGTGGACATCCTAGTGAAGGAACCAGACCATAAACAGAGCAAGGAGATGGCCAAGGACACATTCCACAGAACTAGGGAGTCACAGTGGGCAGGGAGGCAGGGGACGTGGGCTGCTATTTATTGGATTGTCAGGAAAGGCCTTTCTGAGGACCCAAGGCTGAGAGCCAGATGATAAGAATGGGTTTGGATTTTATTGGTGTGCAGGGAAGCCAATGGAGGGTTCTAAACAGGTTTCAAGAGTGACACTGATGAACTTTTTAAAAAGTCACTGTAGGCCAGGCACGGTGGCTCACGCCTGTAATCCCATCACTTTGGGAGGCCAAGGCGGGTGGATCACGAGGTCAGGAGATTGAGACCATCCTGGTTAACACAGTGAAACCCTGTCTCTACTAAAAATAAAAAAAATTAGCCGGATGTGGTGGCGTCCTCCTGTAGTCCCAGCTCCTCAGAAGGCTGAGGCAGGAAAATCGCTTGAACCCAGTAGGCGGCGGTTGCAGTAAGCCAAGATCATGCCACTGAACTCCAGCATGGGCAATGGAGTGAAACTCCGTCTCAAAAAAAAAAAGTCACCCTGGTCTATATGTAGGCAGTGGCTTTTTTAGGGGAAATTGTGGAATCTGGCATGTGAGAGTGGGCATCTGTTTTGTTACCCTGTGGTAGTGGCTTGAGGGATCAGCAATAGAGCTGGAATCAATTCAGGATGTTTTGTAGGAAGACTCAGTGGAACTCACCCACGGATAGAATGTGAGAATAAGGGGAAGAGAAGAGAGATCAATGGTGACACCTGGGTGTTTAGCTAAAGCTGCAGTGACAGGGAAGACTGGAATCATGCATGAACAGGTCCTATTTAACCATGCGTGTTTGGCCATCTTATGCTTCAAGTGTCTATAGGGTGGCTCTACCTGTAAGTCTGGATTGAAGTCAGAGCTGAAGATGCAAATTTGCAAATTCATAGGTCATTTGAATATAGGTGCTTTTGTGTGTGTGTGTGTGTGTGTGTGTGTGTGTGTGTGTGTGACGAACTCTTGCTCTGTTGCCCAGGCTGTAGTGCATTGGCTCAATCTCAGTTCACTGCAACCTCCGCCTCCCGGGTTCAAGCAATTCTCCTGCCTCAGCCTCCTGAGTAGCTGGGACTACAGGTGCACACAACCATGCCCAGCTAATTTTTGTATTTTTAGTAGAGATAGGGTTTCACAATATTGGCCAGGCTGGTCTCGAACTCCTGACCTCGTTATCTACCTACCTCAGGCTCCCCACTGCTCTTGACCTATAGGTGCTATTTAAATCCATGAGATCACCTGGGGAGCTCAAGTTGCTGGAATCTGACAGGAGTGGGGACAGGAGGGCTGAGCCAGAGGCGGGTACAGGATGGCATTGGCAGGAAGCCTGTCCATCTAGGCTTGAGTCTTTTTTCTGTGAGGTTGAGTCAAGGCCATCAGCTGGGAGGATGCCAAGCTCAGGCAGTGGAGTAGTTGGAGATGAAGCGGAAAGGTGTGGAACAGGCTTGTGCCAGAGAGGGTTGCTGGGCAATGTTGCTATCTGCTCATGAATGTCAAATGAGGCTCCCCAGCCCTGTGTCCTCCAGCTGCTTGAGTGTCTGGCAGAAAAGGTGGATGGCTGGGGATCAACTCAGCTGAGATTTTACCCCCAAACACCACTTTCCCCCAGGGCCCTACAGGGGAAGTCAGGAAAGTAACTTTCTAATAAAAGGAGGAGGCAAGTCCTAGAAGTGAGGAGCAGGAGGCAGAAGGAAGCCCCATCTCTCCACAAGTGACAAGCAGGCCTAGGTGGCCCCCCACACGGCAGGTAGAGGATCCTGAAGCTGGGGTAATGGCAGATGACTGCTGTATCTGGCATCCAGTCAGCTCCCAGTATTTGCCCGTAGCTCCCACACCTCCAAAGTATTTTCTGTTTCTTCCCACAAAGCGGCTACTCCACTGACGGATTCCTAGGGCTGTGCAGAACGACAGGGCTCCCATGATCTGCTGACCTTCCCTCAGGAACCCACACTTGGCCTCTAATTCTTTTCCCAGGCCCCCCAGTGAAGCAAGAACTGGTCTCCTGCAAGATGTGCCGCATTGAGTCATTCTTCCGCAAGAACGGGGCTTTCGCACTACTGGATCCCAGGGACCTGGCCCTCTGACCATTGGCCAGGCATGGGCTTAGGGGAAGGAAGAAAAAATAACGGGCCTCCTGGTGGGGCAAAGCTGCTGTGTGTCTGCTGCTCTCTGTTCTCTCTGGCTCTGCATTCAGGCGTTTCTGAAACTATCTCTGACCTGCAAGTTGCCCGCTTTTCCTGTAACTTTCTCTCTTTTTTTTTAATTAAAAAAAATTTTTTTTAAATTTGAGATGGAGTTTCGCTCTTGTTGCCCAAGGCTGGAGTGCAATGGTGTGATCTTGGCTCACTGAAACCCCCGCCTCCCGGGTTCACGCGATTCTCCTGCCTCAGCCTCCCAAGTAGCTGGGATTACAGGCATGTGCCACCACGCCCTGCTAATTTTGCATTTTTAGTAGAGATGGGGTTTCTCCATGTTGGTCAGGCGGTCTTGAACTCCCGACCTTACGTGATCCACCCACCTCGGCCTCCAAAGTGCTGGGATTACGGCGTGAGCCACTGCAAACCCTTATCTCTTTAATCATCCTTTTGAGGGCACAGCAATGACCAGAGGGGGCTGGGAAGAGCGAGCACTACTCTGCAGGCACGGGATCCTTGGCGACAGGGGGCCACAGTAGCTCCTGGAAGTTCTGGGTGTTCCTGGGGAGAAAACGGCCTGTCATCTCAGAGGCCGGGGAAAGCGGACTCCTGCCACCGCCACACCCCTCCCTGCCAGCCCCTCACCTGGCCCCGAGGGCCCGCAGCCCCCCGGTCCTCTCCCGATGCGTCTGCTCCACGCAGGGCGCGCCGCGGCCCGGTCGCATCCTCCTGGCGGTGCAGAGCGCTGAGCGTCCGCGGCTCGGTGGGACCGGAGGGCAACACCTGGCATACCCGCCCCTCCCGCCCCGCCCGAGTCACTGCCAGAGTGCGGTGCGCGCACTTCAAAGGGACCCGAGCGCGCCAAGCTCGACCCCAGCCCGGCTCAGGCTCCTTGTGGCCGCTTTTTGGGGGGTCTTGCCTGTGGAGGGAGTTGAGCCGCGCTGGGCGGGAGCCCCAGGGGATGAACCCGGCAGTGGCGGTTCCTTGCAATGTGGAGGCATTCCAGGACCTGCAGAGGCGGCAGTCAGCGTCCGACCGCCCTCGGTGTCCCGCCCGCCCCAGGCAGGCCCAGATCCCGGCGCGTGGACGCACCCGGAGCCGCTGCTGCTCACGGTCCCGCCGGCGCCGCCGCCTGGCCGCGCTGTGCATCTCCAGCAGCCTCTGCAGAGCCGCCTCCTGCTGCGCCGCGCTCACGCCCGCTGGCGCCTTGGGCCTGCCGGGGGGCGCCGGCCACGCGGCCTTCGAGGCCTTGGGAAGCTCAGGGCAGCTGCCCCGACCCCGGAGGTCACCCGGAAGCCGAGCCGAGCCCACCTCCTGCTCCCCCGGGCCGGGGCCTGCTCCAGGGCCCTGCAGCCCGTGCGGATCGCGCTCCAGGCCTGGGGGCCCCCAGAGAGCCGCGGGGAGCCCCTCCTGCCCGGATACCTCGGCGCGCAGGGTCGCCGGCATCATGGCTCCGAGACCTGGGAGCCGCCGCCGGGCCGCAAGCCTCGGGCTGGGAAGCGCAGCCCACGCCCCCTCCCGGGCGGCCCCCAGCTTTGCCACCGCAGGTGCCGACGTTTGCCTCTCGCCTTTACTCAAGCCCTTCATCAGCTTGGTGGTCCCTCTCCGGACGTCTGGGCTCTCCCTGCCTACAGGCTTTGGAGTCTGCGCTTTCCCTGACCCGCAGGAGTCCCTCGGATGGCTCCGGGGGCCGCCTTCCTCTGGGGGCTGTACAACGGCCTCTCCGGGAGCCACCTCCCAGGCTAGCGAGATACTGCCCTCCCAAGACGGCAGCATCTTCATCCCCGGACTCTGGGGACTTCCCTTTCCCTGGGGACTTCGGACTAAATTCTGTTAGACTCTGAGAAGCGCCCCTGTTCTCACCCAGAGGGGCCTCCTCCCTCTAACCCTGAGGAGGCCTCTGGCTCTGGCCGGCGTGTGTCTTCACCTTCTGACTCTGAGGAGCATCTATGATCTCGCCCCTGGAGGCCTCCCCTCTATTACGCTGAGGGGTCTCTGCTTTCTGATCCTGAGGGCCCTCCTCTCTCAGCCTCTGAGGGGTGTCCATCCTTGGCAGTCTTTGAAGTTCTGCTCTCTCCTGGCCCAGATGCAGGTCCGAGCCCAGCCCTTCAGGGGCATCTTGGGAAGACAGGTTTTGGGAGGGCAGGCCCCACGTCCCAGGGGTCCCGGCGGCGGGGGGGGGGTGAGTTTTCTCTCCTGGGTCTCAGGCTTTGCCTGGCTCCTCTCTTCCCTCTGGGCCAGGTCCTGGAAAGGAAGAGCACTTTGGGTCCAGGCTTGAGAGGGAACCCCCGGCCAGGGCCACTTCTCTTAGGGGAACCTGCGGACTCCAGGGGCCAGCCCTTGCCTGATTCCTGAATTTGTTAAAGCCATTTTATGTGGTGCGGAAGGTGCTTCAGTGCCCCTCACCCCAGCAGCTTCCTTCCGGGCAGGTCCACCCCTGCCATCCCCAACCTGACACCCTTGACATTTCACCTTGTACTCTGAGCTGCCTGGCACCCCAAAGCTCCTGCTCCTGGTGGGGTTCAGCTCTTGTAAGGAGCCTGAGGGAGAAAGACCAGTGTTGGGAGCTCATGTCCCAGCCTCTCAAGCACAGTCCACCTAGACTAGAGCCGGGAAGTTTAGGGAGTCCCAGTGCATGGCCGGGGATGCCCCGGGGGCGCTGTCTGAACCTCAGGGCTGTCACAGTTCATCAATCAGACAGCCACACACCTATTAGTCAGGTGTGCCTGCCAATAGCCCACCTCATCTTTCTCGTCCTCCCAGCCAAGGCAGACCACCCCAAAAGGACCTGCACAGCCTCTTCCTCAAGACCACCACAGGAGGCCTGGGAGTGAGAAGGGCCACAGTGCTGGGCTCCAGGGTCCCTCAGCACCAGCCATGCCCACTTTGTCCTGGTGTGCCCATCAGGCTCAGATAAGAAACCTGCCCTGGGCGTCTTACTTTTTACTCTTATTCAGAAAAACCTTCCTTAGCCTTTTTTTTCTGACAGCAAAATCAAAGGACATTTGAGATGAAATTTTAGGCCAGAGCCTGGCCTAAAAACTGCGAGCATTCATAATTAACAAAAGAAATCTAAAAAAAGAGATGATGTGATACCGCTCCACTGCAGCTGTGGAGGAAGGAGAGCTGTTCTGCATCCATACAACTAGTGAAAATGGATTTCATAAGCTCTGAAATTGAGAGCTTTCCCAAGAATACTGCATCTTGTTCTCTTGTGCAATATACAGACTTGTGAATATTCATAGCAGTAACCAAATGGGTGCACTCTCTGTGAAATCACATCTTTCAAATGGTGTGGTGGCTCACGCCTGTAATCCCAGCACTTTGGGAGGCTGAGGAGGGTGGATCACGAGGTCAGGAGTTTGAGACCAGCCTGGCCAAGATGGTGAAACCCCGTCTCTACTAAAAATACAAAAATTAGCTGGGTGTGGTGGCGGACGCCTGTAATCCCAGCTACTCAGGAGGCTGAAGCAGGAGAATCGCTTGAACCCAGGAGGGGGAAATTGCAGTGAGCTGACAGCGTGCCATTGCACTCTAGCCTGGGCTACAAGAGCGAAACTCTGTCTCAAAAAAAAAAAAATTTAGCTGGATGTGGTGGCATGTGCCTGTAATCCCAGCTACTCAGGAGGATGAGGCAGGAGAACTGCTTGAACCCAGGAGACAGAAATTGCAGTGAACCAGGATCGCGCCACTGCACTCCAGCCTGGGCAATAGAGCAAGACTACATTTCAAAACAAACAAACAAAAAACAAAACCCACTTGCCATCCCTGGGTGTCCCAGCGCTCAATCAGGAAGTGTGAGATGAAGAATGAGTGAAGAATGAAGTCCTAGGACTTGGGAGAGGACTTTCCTGCCTTGTCCCAATCCAGTCTGGCTGCCGCAGCCCCAGGGGCTCCCTGCCCTCCCGGCTGTCTGACAGTGTACCTCGTGTGAGCTCTGCGGGTCCTCCAGGGCTCTCCCACCCTTGGTCTGCACCACTCCCAGCTTCACCCAGATCTGGGGCTGCTGATGGGTCTCCCGCCTGCCCTCTGCAGGAGTTCACAGCCTGCCTCTGATGCACCTCTCTGGGCACATGGGCTCTGGAATGGGAGGGAGTCTGCCTGCCAGTCTGTTGAGACCTCACCCCATCACCAGATCCTGGGAGCTGGAATTTGGAGGTTAACCTTCCCAGGGGGCTGTGGGGCAACTATGGGTGCAACTAAGAGCCCAGGAGGTATAAGGAGGGGCATGGGGCAGGACCGCAGGAGGTGACAGGGGAAGGGCCCAGTTCTCGTTTACTTTGTGTGGCAACACAGAAGGAAAGGCAGAATTCCCAGGGGAGACTGACCCCTCGGGGAGCTGGTGGTTTTGGCTCAGGGAGTCCCTGTCCTGGGGTAGAGGGACAGCCTAGAATTCTGGAAGAGTCGGGAGCACCCTAGTCCATAGGACTCCATCCCCCAGTGTGGCAGGCAGCCTCTACGATGGCCCCTAAATGATCCCTGCCTCCTGGAATTCTTGTCCTCTGTGACCCCCCTTCCCCTCCACATGAAGGAACTTGGAGATAGATCCTTTCTGCCCCATTGAGCCTCAGATGAGACCACAGTTCTTGCCAGCAATGTCGGCTGGACCCTTCCTAAGTTGCACCACTAACACCCCCTCCTGATACAGCTGAGGGTGCCTTGGCCCAGAGAGGGCCACCAACCTGCCCAAAGTGACTCAGACAGCTGGTGGTTGAGCCAGGACTGGGACGCACATTCCCAGTTCCCAGCTCTGTTCTGGGCCCAGTCACCACAGCACCTCCCTCCTGGGGGCTCAGCCTAGCTGCAGTCCTGGAGGGAGGGGCCAGCGGCTGGGACTGTCAGCGCCTGTGTCTCAGGGGCACCCTTGGAGTCAGTGCCTTTGCCCTCTGAGGCCCTGCCAGGCCCCTTTCCCGCCGCGCTGTGGTCACATGGAAAGGCTTCCGGTATCACCACGCAAGTGATTTGACCAAGACAGTCGTTAACTGTGGAATGAGAATAACGGCTTGCCTGGAGAGAGCAGGCTCTGTGTGCCAGGCGTGGCCCCACGAGTCCACTGCTTCTCCTGGTAGCCCTTGGAGAAAAGATCTCTTCTCACAGTCATTTTCTAGCTGAGAGGAAAAGTAGACTGAAAGCCCACGGGGGCACCAGTGTGGAGATTTGAACCCAGCCCTGTCTCCAAAATCCTGCCCCTTCTGCTTGCCCTCACCACAGGGAGGCCCCAGTGTCCCCAGAACCTCTGTCCCCCCCATGCCCCCTCACCCGCTCACCAGCTGCTCAGGGTCCCCACCTGTGCTACCACCTGGCTGGCAGCACGGGCTCCATGCATGGCGGGCCTGGCCCCTTGGACCGAGTAACTGGGTCTCAGGTGGCCAGAAGAGGCCCAGCCCCATGCCAGTCAGCAGTTCCAAGTCCCACAGGAGCTGCAGGAAGATGAGGTGCCAGGGAGTGAGGGGCACCCACCCTGGCCTCAGCCACACCCCCTGGCCAGCCCCTACCTGCTCCTGGGCCCGCCGGCTCCACTCCATCTGCAGCAGCACAGTGGGCAGCTCCAGACCCAGGGGACAGCCCCAGTCCTTTTGCACCTGGAGGGGCAAGGTGGTGTCAGGTCCCCGCCTGTCCTCTTCCTTCTGAGGCAATGCACCTCCCTCACCTGTTGAATTGCAGCCCGGAGCTGGCCTGGGACTGCGGGGCACTGGAAGAGATACTGGTACAAAGCCAAGGGCTGCCTGGGGCTGCAGGGGAGCCCCAAGTCCCCCGGGGGGGCTGCCTGCACCATGGGAGCCTGGAGGGAGATGGAGGACAGACAGCCAGGAGCCAGGAGCAAGGAGGGACAAAGGCTCCAATCTCAATAATGCAGGGCCTGACACCTGAACCCTGGCTGGAATGCAGCCAAGTCTCATAGACTCTGGCCTGCCTCTGAGATGGCTTTTGTGGTCCTAGGGTGGCAGTGTGGAGTGAGCAGCGTGGCCCTGAGAGGGAGGTGTACGCATATGCTTGGTTACAGGAAACCCCGGTGAGCATTTGTTTGACATATACTGTACACTTGCACATCAGCCTCACAGCTGCATTATTTGCCCAGTATGGGCAGCGACAGCAGCTGCCACCAACAAAGTTTACCTTGTGCCAGGATGAAGACGCATCGTCCATGTAATCCTTTCTTGTAGCAACTCTATGAAGTAGGCTCTATTATTATTCCCACTTTATAGGTAAGACTGACTCAGAAATTAACTTGTCTGCACTTTGGGAGGCCGAGGCAGGCAGATCACAAGGTCAGGAGTTCAAGAACAGCCTGGCCAACATGGCAAAACCCTGTCTCTATTAAAAATACAAAAAATTAGCCGGGCATAGTGGTGTGTGCCTGTAATCCCAGCTACTCTGGAGGCTGAAGCAGGAGATGCTTGAACCCAAGAGGTGGAGATTGCAGTGAGCCGAGATTGTACCACTGCACTCCAGCCTGGGTGACAGAGTGAGATTCCGTCTCAAAAAGAAGAAAGAGAGGGAGAGAGAGAGAGGGAGGGAGGGAGGAAGGAAAGAAGGAAGGAAGGAAGGAAGGAAGGAAGGAAGGAAGGAAGGAAGGAAGGAAGGAAGGAGAAGGAAAGAAAGAAAGAGAGAAAGAAGGAAAGAAAGAAAAAGAAAGAAAGAAAGAGAAGCTTGTTCTAGGTCAAGTGTGTTAAGTGTGGTGGCTCACATCTGTAATCCTAGCACTTTGGAAGGATGAGGTGGGAGGATGGCTTGCGCCCAGGAATTTGAGACCAGCCTGGGTGATATAGCAAGACCCCAACTCTACAAAAAAAGCCAGGTGTGGTAGCATGCACCTGTAGTCACAGCTACTTGGAAGGCTGAGATGAGAGGATTGATTGAGCCTGGGAGGTCAAGGCTGCAGTGACTGAGAGCAAAACTCTGTCTCTAAAAAAAAAAAAAAAAGGAATAACTGGTCCTAACATGCTGCAATGTTTTTTCCTCTGGAGCTGGATGGACGTGATACCCTCTAGGAAGACGCGGTCTTGGGAGCCCATGCTGTCCATCAGCAAGAGGAGAGTGGTAAGAGGCCCTGCCCTGGTGAGCACTGCCCACGTGCTTGTCCCATGCAGCCCACCCAGTAAGTGCTGTCCATGGGTCACTGTTCATTCCTTGACACATACCAGATGCTTGTTGTTACCATCATCGTCTCACAGATGAATAGACAGGTCATCTAAGTTATCCAATCAGGAGAAGGGCTGAGTGAAGGAGCTCTGCCACCTTTACCTCCTTCCCTGTCGTGAGCAGATCTGCCTGCCCGCTACTTTGTCCCGTTCCATGAGAGAACGGTGCAGATCCTCCTCTTGGCCAGAAGAGAGAACAGTCCATGAAGCAGCAAGCAGGCTGAGTGGCCCTCAGTTCAACCCAGCACTCTCCTGCGTCCTTGCCTGAGCATAAAGCCCTTTACTCCCTGCTGGAATATCAGGGACCCAGCAATGAGGTTGGAGTCCCCTGACCTCATGAGCAAGGTCCCTGAAACACCAAGCCCACAGAGCTGGTAGGTGGCAAAGAAAACTAGAAATCTGGCCTTTTTCTGTCCCCAAACTCATGATCTCTACCTACGGTGTTGTCTTCACACTCTGCCTGTCTACTGCCCACACTTTTGCCCAGGGTGGGTGTGGTTGTGAAGACAGGCAGATATGCATTGCACATGTTTGTCTGGGTTTCTGACGGATGTGTGTTTCTGTGTGTGTTTCCATGTTTGTGTTTCTGTGTGTGTTTCTGTGTATGTTTCTGTATATGTTTCTGTGTGTTTCTGTGCGTGTTTCTGTTTGTGTTTCTGTGTATGTTTCTGTGTGTGTTTCTGTATGTGTTTCTATGTTTGTGTTTCTGTGTGTTGTTTCTGTGTGTCTTTCTGTGTGTGTTTCTATGTGTTTCTGTGTGTGTTTCTGTGTATGTTTCTGTATGTGTTTCTGTATGTGTTTGTGTTTCTGCATGTGTTTCTGTATGTTTGTGTTTCTGTGTGTTGTTTCTGTGTGTCTTTCTGTGTGTGTTTCTGTCCATGTGTTTCTCTGTGTGTTTCTGTATGTGTTTCTGTATGTGTTTGTGTTTCTGCATGTGTTTCTGTATGTTTGTGTTTCTGTGTGTGTTTGTATTTCTGTGTGCACACACAGGCACAGTCCATATTGCATTGCGGTCTATTGCTTCTCCTGTTCCTCACCCCAGGCATCGGGTCCCAGTGTCACTAGCTCTGAGAGTGGTCCAGAAGGTGCCTGCAACTCAGCACCCCCAAGCCACAAGGAAAGGGGAAGCCATTCTCTGATGAGGCCCCTTCTCCGTGGTTCCTCAGCCCCTGCAGGATCCCACATGGATCCACAGAAGGTACCACATGGGGCCATGGGCCATGCCTGCTACACAGAATGAGCACAGGACACCTAGATCCTCTTTCTGCCCACTGCAGGGTTTCCCAGACAGCACCAGGGAGTGGCTGGGTGGGGCAGCCCAGGCATGCAGGTGCAAGGAGTGAGCATGGCGCTGTGATTCTGGGGCCACTGATCCCTGGACCCCATGTTCCCAGCAGCCCAGCCTCTGTCCCAGCACCAGAAGGAAACACACACACACACACACACACACACACACACACACGGAAGCTTTCGGCAGGCCTAGAGTTTACTGCTTGTGACTCAACACAGCGGGGGTCTTTGCAGGGCAAGGGCCCAAGCTCCAGTGTCCAGGCAGGCATTCTCTCCTCAGCCTTGACCAGGGTGGGAGCTGCTTGCCAAGGGGAGACTCTGGGCGTGGTGAACCCTGGTCAGGCCCTGTCCTGGCTCAGGATGTCTCCTGGGGCTCCCAGCTGCGGCTGGGCAGAGCACCGGTGAGCAGGACTTGGGGGCAGGCCTCGGGTGGGATGCAGTGGGCCTCATGCTCCACCAGGCCTGCTGGGCACTGGCAACTGGGCACGCAGGGCCTCACGCAGTGGGCTGCCAGCTCCCCCAGGGGGATATGCTGATTGAAGCAGGTGCGGGGACAGGGCGGGCCACATTCATCGAACACGAAGCCACGGTCCAGGGGGCAGCTCACCACTGCAGAGGGAATGGGAGGCGGGGTCACCGAAGTACCTGTAACTGCCCCAGTCGCTGTGCGTACCCCTGCGAGACTCGCCATACCCTCCTGGTTCTGCTCTCAGCCCTCCAGGCTGCCCTTCTTCTCTGTGCTCACCCTCCCCCAACCTGCAGCGGGCATCACCCCCTTACCGCACAGTGTGGGGCCTCGCCAGGTAGGTGCTACTCCTGCCTGGCGACAGTGACTGGCGTAGGCTTCCAGGGCATCACAGAGGCAGGCATCAGCGGAGGAGCCAGGGCCACAGGCACAGAGGTCATAAACACAGGCGGCAAAGAAGGGCTCTGGTGGCACCACAGCATGGCAGCGACTGAACGGAGAGGACTTCAGCACCCCACACCGGGCATTGGCCTCACGCCTGACACGGTAGCCTGCTGCCCGGCATGGATCCACCTCTCGGCCTGCAGAACAGGGCTGGCCAGGCCCCATTCCCTCTGAGACCTGGGTAGGGAGGGCAGCCCTGACGTGACAGCACCAGGGGCAGCTGACCTCTCTCTGCCTGCCATGCCCTTCAAAGCACTTCCCACCCAGTCATTTGCTTTAGTCCCCAAAACCTCCCTAAAATAACAGCAAAGGAAGAGCACTGTCTACCTTCTTTTTGTCCCCATTTTACAGATGGACAGACCAAGGCCCAGAGCAGGTCAGCACTTGTCCAAAGTCACACAGCCAGTAAATGGTAAAATAGGACTTTGTGACAGTTCAGGTGACAGGCCTCTTTCAACAAGCCACCCTACCTTCTGGGACCAAGACAGGCAAGAAGCCCCCACACCTCCCTGAAAGCCCAAAAGCCCATCTTGTGTGACTTTGCCCCCCTCCCTCACTTTCCATGCCAGAGGGTTGCTCTGAGACTTATGCTCAGCTGCGCCTCCCCTAACCCCCATCCCCAGTTCCTGTGCCACTAACCTGCCAGCTGTTCCCAAATGCAGCCTCTGTGGGCAGGAGCCGCCCCTCAGGGCCCTGTAGATCATCCTGGGCGAAGCCGTTGAAGTTCCCACAGAGTCCACAAGTCCGGCCCTGGTAGGAGCCAGGTACGCTCACCTCTACCTGGGACTGCCCATCCCACAGCACCTGTGTGGAGAGGCCTGGGACTGAGGAGCAGGGGACAGGGGCCTCCAGAAGCCTGGGGTCCACCATGGCCCCAGGCACTGTGTTCATCGAAGCCAGTGCTGCAGGGGAGGAGAATGGACAGGTGGAGGCTCCCCTTGGAAGAAACACCGCCATGGCCAAGGCCAAGTGGACGCATGCTGTGCCAGCCTTGCACATAGACAGCTGCCAGGAGGAGCTGCCCACAGCTCCCACAAGAGGGCACCTTCTCCCGCTGCCATCCCTGAACTGGGCCACAGGTGAAATGCAACCCCCTTTCCAGGGATTCACTTTCTCATTGGCATCTGGGCCTTGTAGAGGACAAGCAGTTAGAGCTCGGATCAGAAGTGTACACGGC